GGTCTCGGGTTTGAAAAATAGCATAATAACAACTTTCATGTTTTCATTATCATTTGCCTATATTGACTACCGAGTCTGATAAGAGACCCCTTGGATGATTCATTGCTCAATGAAATACTACCTGATTGGAAGTGTGCTGGTTATCAGATATTCATTTGTCGACTCCCGGGTCCTGGAACTTGGAAGTCGGTATGGTTGACCCAAATTTGGGTGGTCAGAACTTGGCATCTCATAGGGCAACACAAGCTTCACACCCTGGATTCCAAATTCTGCAAGACAACCTGTGCACCATCAAAGGCCATGTCAGGAGATCACCTGCTGCTCCGGGAACTCAGGAACTTTGATTTATTACCTCCTCTGAGTACGGTTGACCCAAAGGTTGGTAATCGGAACTTGGCTTCTCATAGGGTAACACAAGCTTCGCACCCCGGATTCCAAATTTTGCAAGACAACCTGTGCACCATCAAAGGCCATGTCAGGAGATCACCTGCTGCTCCAGGAACTTGGTAACTTTGATTTTATTACCTCCTCTGATTTGGTTGATGTACAACTACCTCAGCTCCATCGTGTTTACAATTATGATACACATGGGCCCACCCATCTATATTTTATACCACCCTCGGCCCACCCGTCTAATACAACATCCCATACAACACCCTCGGCCCACCGGTCTAATTAATATGCGTCTGGGCCCACCCGTATAATACAATATTGTATAATACCCTCGGCCCACCCATCTAATTTAATATGTGTCTGGGCCCACCCGTGAATGTGATAACAAGTACCTACCCATCTATCTCATACACATCTACCTTAATATACCCATCTGCATAATATCCAACTACCTCGGCCCACCCGTCTACCTAATATTCATGTACATCGGCCCACTCATCTACTCTATATATCCCCTGCATGGGCCCACCCACCTCCATCGGGAATAATTTGCCTCCTGGCCCATCCGTCATAGTCGAGGATATTTTGATCATGGGCCCATGGTCCGCTGGCCCGTATCATACGGGATATTATGCACGTCCGTTCCCTCGTATTATACGGAAATAGGTCACTGTAATATGTGCACACATCATGTCAAATGTCCATCCAACGATACTTACTTTCCAATGCGACCTAACACATATCCGCCACACCTGACACTTTGACTAGTGGACCCAACACTTTGGCCGCATCAGACCCGATATTTTTCCCATGCACTTGCAGCGCCTCACGTGTATTTACATGTACTTCAGATCTGAAATTGTTGGCCACTACTTTTGCCTATAGGGTTCCAGATTCCTACATACTTATATATATTGGTTTCCACATAGCACATTCATCATCCAAGTAGTAGGGAGCTGTTTCCTGATGCTTTGTGGTCAAACCCAATATTTCATAGTTCTTAGTTGATATTAGGAAATATTACCACTCTTTCCATCTGAAATACCCGTCATTCCCGATAATCCACATATCACTCACTTTCCTGATGTTTGCTATCACCATAATCCATAACCCACCAGCCCAAAACACAAAACCTGAAACCCACTAACCCACTAAACCTGAAAACATCGGACCCAACACTTTGGCATTGGATATCGTAATTATACCTTCGGATATCATTTCCCACTGTAAAGAGTTGATTCCTGGTGCACTATACAAAAGGTGTTACCTTAAGACTCAAAGTGCGAGTGAGATGTTCATCCCAAAGAGACTGCCTGTAGGATTATCTCTTGATATAAAATGCAAGGGATATCTAGTTAAGATCGAAGGAGAGAGAAGGAAAGGATACCTCAAGTACATTCAGAGTTCTGAAGAATTATCTGAAGTGTCCAGTCAAGGTCTGACATCAAGAAACAAAGATCCAAGATTGCACAAAGCTTCTGGCAAGCTTCCAATGAAACAGCAAGGTTTCTGGTATAGAATACAGTGATTTGTTGAAGTATAGAACTTTGCGTAGTATAACTAGCGAAGTCCATCGAAAGACTTAAGAAATTCAATAGCAAAATGGCAGCGGTTAGGCCAAACAATCATTCTGAACAAACAAGGATCAATTGCATGAAGTACTAATTCCGAAAGTGACTCTACTAACTATCATTTGTAGCAAGGGAAGTGAAGTAGTTGTGAGTATTTAGCGAGCCGGATTATATCCTACTGCATGAAAGTCCAGAATCTGCGTAGGCAAAAACTGTAGCAAGATAAGACATCTGAAATGTAATAAGACTCTAGGCGAGTCGCTACGAAGATATACATGTAATAATGCACGAGATGCATATCTATACATATTAGCAAGGGTTTTCAACATATGTGCCCCTAGACATAATCAATAACAGATAACCAAGTGAAAAATGCACCAGCGAAGTCAAACGGACAAGGACAGGACATGGTATGGAGAACTAGGAAAAGCTAAAAAGGCCTCAGAATTGAATGGATAACCTTTGGACGACTCAGACAAGTTTGCAGAACTTTTGGAAGATTGGAAGTGTGTCAAAGAATGTAAGATGTGATTTCGACCAGATACATGCCCAGTGCCAACCTCAGTGTTACACTGCACTCGGACTTTTGACAGTTTATTGATTGACCACCTATATTCCAATAGCAAACTCCTTGGGTTGAACATGCTTGTCTAGCAAGTATAGCAGACTAGGCTGTGCAAGACCACTACAACACTTTTATATTGCTGATTACTTACTTTGTATAGTATCCAGCAATTGTTGTATCTTTACAGTGGACAGAGATGGCATAGTGGGGTTATCCATTTCTATGTCCTTCTCCTGGGGCTTGTGACACGTGGAAAATCTCTGTTCCATCTTTGCTAGCTTGCTCTCTTTTTCTGCCTGGTGATCAATTCAACATATTTTCTATTTGTTTATGAAACATGTTCTTGCCTTCATCTTCAGCACTTCTTGCTGTAACCTCTGGTCTATCTCAGCTAATATCGCATTGTTGCCCTCTTGAAACTGTTTGTTGTTATCAGCCATTTTCTTGTTGGATCATTCACCTCACCTCTTCATTTGTCTTTCTCTTCGTTGAAGAGCATTGAAAATTCCAGCCAAGAGTTCGCTGAGGACCCCATCAATGATGTTATTTGGATGCCTGACTCTGCAATGACTAGTGCTGTGCCTGATGACCTATATACCCTCCTGAGACAACAAACAGCAATCCTATGTGCCACACTCAAGTTTGAAGGTGTTATATACAGTAGGGCATCGACACACTTGGGGAACAGCCAAATTCTCTTCTACCCCCAAAGAGACTGGACATTGACCCCTGTCCCTGCCAGCATCAAATACATCTATGGCATGGTGATGGGGGAATTGTTGTTTGCTGCACAGAGACATCTCCCGCTGGATCATCATGACTGTATGATCAATCCCTTCTCAATTTATCCTGATTTCCCTGCAAAAATGTACTTGACAGAGCTCAAGAGTTGCCTGGAAAATGTTAAGGTAACTTGGGTAGTCAGTCACTTCACACAATGGACAGTTTCTGGCCATCATGCAGTCATTCTATCCCTATCTTGTGATTGATCAGTTTATTGCTTTGTTTTCAAGTCGTATTTTTTATTCTGTCCAAAAAGTTCTCATTCATGCTCAGATAGTACACAATACTATTTTACGCTGCTACATACTTGTATAATGAAGAATGAAAACATTACCTTATATACCCATTTTCAGTCTGATCGCCAATTTGTGCTTATTGTGGGCTACAACTGAGTGATGAATGGGCAACAGGTGGGCAATGATCAGGCAATCCATTTTGTCACAGGATGAAACTTGAAGTTTCATCATCACATTTTGTCACCAGCATAAACTTCAAATTTTTAGGGTGTCTCAATTGTCTGACAAAACTTCATACATAAGCAAGCATATGGCCATGTCCTAAACTTCACATTTTGTCTGACATTTTAGGCTATAATTGTACTTCAAATTTGGGCACACGCAGAAATTCTGATTTAATTTCTTATTGTCATTGGCATATGGTTGGTGGGAATATGGTTGCCACTGCTTCAAATGTTGTATTTCATCCAAAACACTGCCAAAATTTGAAGTTATGTCTCCATCTTTATGTCAGTTTAAATTTCAAATATTTTCTTCACATTTAATACAACATAAAAACATCTCCTAAATATTGATAACCCTGATGTGTATGTAGTGGTTGTATGTAACCTTATGTAACTTGCCAGCACCCACCAAGAACACCACTTGCACCCATCCAACCTCCAATACTTAGGTAGACTACTCTCCAACATGCTCACAGCAACTTCAGACTGCATTCTCTCCTTATCAAACTTCCTAGCTCCTTTGAATATCTGGTCTTGCTGTCTTCATAGCATTTTTCTTCATCTCCAATGTCACTTCCAAATACTAAGTATATTTCTCTCTCCAGGGACATGATTCTGCAAGCCTTGAGGGCAGTGTGCAACAATGCGGCTTCAGGTTCTATATATATGGGGTGAAATGTAATCTTTCTCTTAACCCAGCAAAGGGTGCATGTTGCGCAACAGTACTACTACTTCCCTCATCTTGCAGGCACATTTGCCACTTGTCTGATCTGTTTCTCTTGCCATTGATTATTGGCTCTGCCATCATTCAGAGTCCATGCCATTTGGAGTAAATCACCATCAGAGTATCGTTGATGCCCTCGCTTGTTGCATGGCACTGAAGAGTTTCTTCCTGGCAGCATATTGAAGTCACCTATTCATGAAATTTTTTCACTCAGTTAGTACTCAAGTATTATGCATTACAAACAAAATTTCGATTCAACTACAGGCATCGGGCATACACCAGGTAATGATTCAATAAGCCATTTAGTACATCCAGCGGTAGTTTTATTCGTGTTGTCATGGCTAATCAGATCCCCGGCGAACTCGAGTGGAATCCGACTTTCTGGCCATCATAGGGGTATTAAAAATTTACCAGCTTATTAATTTTCCCATTAGCCGACTTGAACGACTGACCTCGTCATTACTAGTGACGCGCTCTACCAACTGAGCTAAACGGGATGCGATGTCGGGCTGATAGCAAGTGACATTATTGTCACCATATTTGCATGTGGGTATGTCTTCAGTAAACTAAAGTTATTGCTACTTTCCAAACGTTTGCATACGCTCTGTAACAGCTTTCTTCAACTGTGCAAGAATTTGTCAACCGAAATATGGAATACAGAGGAAGAAACTTACTGGAGGACTAATCCCATTACCTTCGAAATATGCCAGGACGAATTCCTCTGCTACCCAATCATTTTCCACCGAACCCATATCTTTAAGTATCAGAGTACGTGGGCGAGATGGGCTGCGTAACGGCGCAAGGAGTACAATGTCAAATGGTTTGCCCTTTGACATTGATGTAGTCGGGAAAAGGGATTTCAATGTCCTCAAAGAAGACTGGGCTGCAGGTTCCTCTGCCGGAGTGATTGTAGCACGTGTATGTGCGAGCTGCATACGCGCAGTGAGGGCGCGCATGAAGCCATCACGGAGATGTGAGTAAGATGTGCCGCGAGTGGGTACTGAGCAGAGTGAAGTTGAAAGTAACCACGGCGTGTGCTCAGTACAGTAGGGACTTGCCTATTCGGATGGCGCAAGCGGTATTGCGGACAATGTGCTCGATTTTTTCATCTGGAGTTGCAGTCATGGGAATCTATTGAGTATCTATCAGGAATAAGAATGTAAGAGGGCGAAGGAGTAATGTTACATTCAGGTTTGGATTGGCAAGGTCGGCATAAAAACCAACAGAGTACACCTTTATGCCAAGGAATGACACGGTTCTCACCCCAACGCCAACGAGTGAGAACTGAGGCAAAGGGAGCTTTGACGGTATACGAAGGGTCTTAGGGAAAGCAATTGATGTTGCGGGATCAACTATGCGAAATTTTAAGTTCTCGGACTAGTAGCCCAGTCAGGCGGTGAAACATACTCTCGAACTCGGAGTCGGGCAGAGATGGCTCGGCGTCCAGATGGATGGTTGTGTGCTGTACTGCATATGCGGCTGAAAATATGGAAACAGTAGCACCCCATAGTAACGGTTTCACGAATGACCTAGACTGTTTGGAAGTTTTTGCTATACATGGACGAGACCATGATGAGCTGAAAAATGCCAGCGGTCGCAAAAGTTGAGACATATGGAGGTTGTGCCTAGAGAAGGACCGCCGGGAGAACCACGTGGGAGTATTAGCGTCAGGCGTTTACGGAGTGGGTGTTCTCATCCGGGGGACGACGCAATCCTCCTAAACAAGTCAAATCCGCAGATAGACGACGCGTCAGCTGGAAATCCATCTCAGTATAAAAACACGTACGTTCTCAATCAATTCCGTTTCTTTCAGTACTTCTATCCTTCAGATATCGCTCTCCCGCGGGAACTAACTTCATATCTTTGAATTCTCTCATAACTGCTTTCTATCATAATCAGCGTCTTCCTTTATGTCACTTGATATCAGTGATCTCATTGGCGAGTTTGCAGAAGAGCTTTCTTCAGGTGGTTTTTCCGTTTACATGGACGAAGAAGACAGTACGTCCATGGACGTCCTCGAGTCACCCTCAGATGACATTGCCGCGGAACTCGTCTCTGATCGCTCAGCATACGAGAAGCAAAAGGCTACTCTCCAGACTTATATTGATTCCCTCCCTTACGAGTGCGAGTCCGTTGATGTCATGCAAGCTAAGCTTGAGTACATAGTTGGAAAGTTGATAGTCTGCGCTAAATCCAAGAATTGGTTGGTCCTCACCACCTGGGATGCAATCCTGCAATGGTATGTTATTCTTATACACAATCTAAAATCACTCACCCCCGCTTCCAGCTGGCTGCAGATGCGCTATCCCATGACGACCTCCACCCGCGCCGCATTGGTCCGCTTCTATTACGAATTATGCCTTCTGCCTGGCATAGAGGTACGGGTCATCCGTAGCTGGGCAGATATGTTGTACCGTCTCTTGGGATCCAAGACTGTTAAACGCAAACTTGAGGCCACTGACCTCCAACTCCCCTGGAAACCCCTATGGGATGTATTGTACAAAGAGCTGTTCCCCAAGAGCCGCCTCGCAGAATTTCAGTAAGTACACAACAACCGTGTCCATATGCCAATGTTTAATCCAATGCGTGCAGGGGAAATCGTAACTTAAACAATATATTGCTATATGTCGCGGAGAGCTGTAAACGCTATTTCCCTGCGACTGATATTCCCGATATGCTCGAGACATTCTTGCCTATCCTCACGCCCGATGTAAGTCCTAGACCTCTTTGGATTGATGACTCAGATTAATGCTATCCAGACTACTTTGACGATGATTCCCGTGCTCACATCGTTCCTTCCGCCAACCCACACACATATCTACCTTCCTGTGATATTCAGGATTTGGGAAGCTTTCAATTCGCACATCATGGACGATAGGTTTCTCGAATTCGCCGGAATCCTCGCGGAGGAACATGTCGCTGGTAAGGAAGGACTTGCGGGAGAGGAAGGAGGTGCCGCATGGAAAGATATCGGTATCTGGACACAAGAAGAGTGGTTGATGCTTATTAGTAAAGGAATCGAGTCGCTATGTAGGTTTTTTTAGTACACTTGGTCAAGACCCGCTGACTTCATGTTACGATAGATGTCCCTGTGGGCAATTCGAGCGTGAGTCATTTCATTTTCTTCCTTCACACAGTAATATACAATTCAATTCTAGCAGAATGTCGCTGCTACAGCTGTTCAGGCAGATGCTACCGCGGCACGCCAAGGTTCCAAGGTCAAGAAAACAATTAGTAGGATCAGTCAGTGTCTTCAGATCTTCTGTGCCACATAAGAGTAATTCTGAATTCTGCAGGTTTCCTGGCTAAACTATTTGTATACTCAATGGCCCTCGATGGTCCAATACGCGGAGATTCTGCATCCACTCCTGGGTCTCCCAACAGCCAGCCGATGGGATACTTGGCCGGTTCGAAGGCGCTTGACTCGTTAGACAAACTGATTACAAGCACAGAATCCTTCTTTCATCCATCAAACTCCGGCCACTGGACGTTCACAGTACGTATCGTGCTGATATAGGGACTTCTGCTAATATTCCCGCTAGCTCACGAATTTGTTGCAACGTCTTACCGTCGAGTTTGCCGACAGATGGCTTGAAGAACAGCAGCCTTCATGCAAAACTCCCGTGGTACGTATGACACCAGAGCTCGTCGCAATAAACTCACGTGCACAATTTAGGCACACCGTCTCACTCCTTCTCTCCGCCGAGCGTTCGTCGATGTTTTACGCACGCCTGCGTTCCTTGCCATGTTTTCCAAGGATTCATTTTCTATTAGTATGGCACAAGGTGCACTGCGCACTATGGCATTGCTTGAGCCGACGCTCATCATGCCTGAGCTCCTTGAGCGTGCCTACGGTGGTCTGGAAGTGGTAAATGAGACCCACCGCACCACCGCAGTGTTGAAGATGTTGTCCGGCATTTCACTTCCGCTTGTCTCAGAGATGATATGGAGGCCGGGACAAAAGCACTTACTTCCTCTTCTCGAACTCTGCCTTCCTGGCATTGATCTGGTAAGATACTTTACATCCTCATAGTGTGCACTTGTTACTCATCACGTGATGTTTAGAACGACCCCAACAAGACTGTCTGTGCTACTTTATTCATCGTCAGCACCATGCAGCATGTGAAGGTCGGAGATCTCTCCATGCACCACTCTGGTTTCGCGTTGTCTGGAGATGCGCCAGGCGAGGAGCTGATGGAGGTTGATACCGAGGACACCCACATCCCTGATGGTGTCGAAATGAGCCCATTTGTTTCACTGAGCAAGCGAGAAGAGAGGACTCTTGTCCGGGAGAGCACGGCAGGCTTCGCAGGTGTGATTGTTTCCTTTCAGTGAAGGACAGCGACTCACTCCCCAGTAGACTGGGTGACATCCCTCTTTCGTAGAGTTCTAGCTTTATACGAGAATCTTCCTGAGGAAGGTGGGAAGAAGAAGACTACCGGCGGAAAATCGGAAGAGACCGTTTTGAAGTCGATAAAGAGCATGCTTGACGTGGTCACCTTGCACCTCTCAGACCAATTATTCGATCTCGTGTTGAATCTTGTTTTCGACTACGCTGCGACAAACGCGAAGTCTAACGCTATCCGAGCGTTCGGGCAGCTTGTAGCATGCCTGGCACGCGCCCAACCCCAGAAGACATTGGATAAGTTTTTGCCGTCGTGTATCTCACGCATACAAGAGGAGCTCAAGTACGGAGCTTCCAGCATTAGAACAACATCAACACACGATCTTGTTCCATCTGACACAACGCTGCACTGGAGTGAGTGGCTTAGCTTATTCTTCGTTAGGCATCTAAATGATTGTCCTCACAGATATGTCGATATTGCGCGGGTGTCTTGCGTACGGTGCACATGCTGTGAGTGCGATCTCATTCCGTAGCATTTTTGAGTTCCCGAATGCATTTTCAACTCTAGCTCCTCAAGCACAAGGAAGATATCATCAACCTTTTATCGTTACTGTTGAATAAAACGAAGAATGAACGTGGGTACACGGGCACTGCTGCGATTGTCACTAGAGTGATGCACGCGCTGTCTGGTGTCTATCCATCTGACAACCGCTTCGTGAATGAAGACGTATGGAATCAGCCTGGTCGGTCACGTTGACACCACTCCGTTTACGCAACTAATTGTTATCCAGAGTTTAACGAGTCGCACAACACTCAATGGGGTCGCCTGTACGAAGCAAAGGATGTAAAGGTGGAATGGCACAGTGAGCATAATATCAATGTACTTGACGCAACTGCTGACCACATGGAACATCAAGTTCCAAGTACTGAGGAAGTGCAATTCATCTTGGACATTTTGGATCGCGTAGCAGCTCCTGCACTCGATAAGATAGAGACATTGGCGCGGTCTACTCAACATTGGGATGAAGTCGTTAGGAATGACTTTTGCAGGCAAGTTGCAACACGGAGAATATAGCACTCCATTAACATAGTTTTCACAGGTACCTCTTGTTTGTGAGGTCCTATCTGGAGCGGCCTACCGTCATTCCTGAAGGAAGGACCTAAAGACGTAGTACACCCATGCCTCGATCCAGAAATAGAACTGGAAGAACTTATTGTTGATCATATTGACGTCAAAGCTGGATTTATTCTCACTGATCTCAACGATCCTCGTTACCAACAAGCCTTGCAGCATCGCATACGTTTTGGCAATGTCACCCACTTGGCCGCAGTTGCCTTGCGCCAAATCCAAGGAGGTGAAGATCATTTGGATGCTGTTGTCGCCGTCGTGAAGGCCATCGACACTTACTTTTTGGATTACGGGATGAGTCGGGCAGACTTTATCACATTGCAAAAGAATTTTGCACAGTCGAGAGAGTGAGTCGTCCAAATGCAAAGCTTGTCCTCGTCTGATGTAAATCAGGGTAAACCGAGTGTCAGCAAGGCAAAAAGAGAACTCGCGAATTGCGTGGGTAAAAAGAGCACAAGTCTACCACTGTGGCCGGCTCTATATACACGCTTTGTATCGCCGAAGATCGTCCCTGGACGACACGTTACTGAAGGAAGACCTGGCGGAGCTCTGTTTGTCACCATACACGCGAGTGCGACGGTGAGTTCCTTGATGACATCATTCGTTCTTTGTCATAACCAATTTTTCAGCCTCGCTCAGAATGTGCTGCACAGCGCATGTGGTGTGAGTACAAATATATTCTGGTTTGACTGTACGGTGACCTCGGTCCAGTCCTATGTCCGCGCAACAAGATACATCTTGCCATCTATCTTCAACGCGCTGTCGAAAGGCAATGATCCTGATAGGATCAAGGGTGCTTTGTACGTCCTTGGTAATAAAGGCACTGGTATGTGGCTTTACTGCGTCTTTCAGCATGATCTGATTTGATATCCGCAAAAGCCGCGCTGACCATGTCCGGTATGTTCCAGCAATAGTAAGTCTACTCAATTCTAATCCCGCGCAGAGCCACCGCTACGACGGCAATACCTGGTTGCTTTGCTAGAGTGCCAGCACGAAGAGAAAGTGAGTGCAAGTCGCAATCTATTGCTCTGAAACCCGTCTAACGTCACCATAGCCTTCGATACAGAAGCTTGTCACCACTTTCTCCACGGAGTGTCTAATACACCTCGGTGAGGAAGTCATAAGGACTTCTTCATACACAGCCCCTACTCCCGGGATTGAATCCTCTATTCGCACTCTTGAAGAAGAGTTCTCGCCTGCTATCATTGATAGCGAGCTAACAAAGGTAGCGGTGGAATGTGCTGCTAGGCGTGCAAAGCGATGCTTGGAGGAGAGCGACAAGACTGTGCGTATCACGCTGTCGATGCGTACATTGATATTGATATTTTGTGGTAGGTCCGCTCTATTCTTGAGATTGCCTGTCGGCCTACTACCCATGTACGTCATTCCTCATTGTCGTCCGACAAATCTAAGCAAGGCTTTAGTGGAGATATGTACACATGGCCATGAAGTTTCTGATGGGCTTCCTCAGACGCGACGCAGTGGCTCCTCCGGAGTTGGTTCGCTTCTTTATGGAACAAACACTTAGCCCACAATCAGGAATAAGGGCTAGTGCTGAGCAGTACGTGCTTTAATCAAACATGCATCACGTCGATTCATTTAATTTTTTTGTTTTTAAAGGGCAATCGTAAAGACTGCCGTTCTCATGAAGATACGAGCATATGCCAAAACTGATGATGAGCTCTGGCTCTGCAAATGGCAGAGCCCCTTCGCGAAGACTATTTCCATCAACAACCCACCTGCTTTCCTTGAGCAACTACACCAACCCATTAATGAGGTCGAGTGAGTTGAGTTATTTGTAGTGCAGAATTTGTTGCTCAAGCGCTTCATTAGCGGCTTTTATGTCGACCTGCTAGACACTGGCTTTTTGGCTTGGACGAAGACCATCAAATGCTATCCTGTGAATCTGACCAACTCAGTGTCATGGGACTTGGCGTCAAGACAGTGCTTACAAGCCATGCGTAGCTGTATTGGAAAAGGATATTTCACTCAGCTCGCAACATTGTGGAGCCAAGAGTCTAGCAAGGCGTCTGGCTCACCGCATCTTCACGCAGAGAATGTGATTTTTATGATTACTCTAGGTCCCCGTCGTTCACTTTTCCATCCATGAATTCGTTGCTGACCCTACTACAGCGAAGTTATTCAATGGCGAACACATGCATTTAATTCTTCCAATTGTCGAGCCATTGATGATCGATGCGGATAAGTTCAAGCAGGCGGCTGCGGCTGAGATATTGACTGGACTGTTGCGCGGTATTCTTCCTGTTCTATAACATCGTATTTACATCTGATGGCTTCATCATAGGGTCCAAACACTGGCCTAAGCAAACGCGAGAGGAACTCTGGTCTTGGCTCACGCCGCGCTTTAACGTGATTTTCACTCAGGCAAAGCCAGACACTGTTTCATACTGGACTTCATTCCTAGAGGTATATTTCTTCGCAGTTGTATCGAGAAACGTCACTCATTGACCGCCCCAAAGCATACTTTACTGAACCTCGACCCACGTCGCTTCCAGCCTTTGGTAGATTGGATATTGTCCCTCCATCTTGACTTTCAGGGCGACTCTGCGTTTTCCAGCAAGTTTGTTTCTTGTCATCAGCCCTGTTGTGCTCATTGTCTTGCAGTGACGAAGGCTCTTAATGTTATCGTTGTATTTATTGATTCTGTCGGTGTCCGGTTCAATGGCGTATCTGAGAAATATGCTTCGATTTTCTTCGACAACGCGGACTCCAACTATGCGGAGGTATTTGCTTGATACGGATATGCCGCATCCGTGTGTCTCATATCTTTTGATGCAGATAAGGACTTCGATATCCAATGCCCTGTGTCTGATAGCCAAGTACCAATGGAGACCAGCATATCCCTCTGTGGATGCTCTCCTCGCGGCATGCGCAGAGAGTCCAGATCCACTCCGAATCAGGTATCTCCCCTCGAGTAGTCTCCGATATGGCACTCAGTTTCTTTTCAGACAAGGGTTTTTCTCTTATCACGTACAATCGATCATCGATAATCTGCCAAAATGGAAGGATGAACGATTTTCTCCACCTAGAGTCTCACAGTCCCGGGTGGGTAATAATACATTTACCGGAATTCTCTTTCTTACGTTCATCTTCAGTATGACAAAGTCGGCTTGACCAGTAGGCTTCGCAATTTTTTTCATCTGAAGTTTAAACTGAGACCTGACAGTGCTGCTCTGGTTATGGGTGTCTCTTCATAGCCCTGAAGCTTGTCTTGTTCGTCCTCATGCCATGGCTCTGCTGTTTGTGACCCATTCATTTTACTGTATTTTGCTAAAAATATATTTAGACCTGAACTCTTGAGCATGTCAGAATTGAGCGACAATCCGGAACTTCAAAAGTACAGTAGCGCTGTACTTCGTGTGTTTTCCTCGGGTCATCTGCCGCCTTCGCTTACGCACATCGTCCTGGAGAACCTGGTTTCAGCCATTCAATCATCTGAGGTATATTCATTTACCTAAATAAATAAAGTATTTATCTGGAATTTTTCTAGTCATGGCGAATTCGATTGCATGCATTGCCTGCCTTGGTCGTTTTCTTCTATCGGAACCTCTTGACGATTTCATCTAACGGCGTACTCAAAATCATGGATGTATTACTCGATTGTTTATCAGATGAGAATGTCGAAGTTCGAGAAATGTCGTCGAAGACCCTGGCTGGAGTTGTAAGATGCTCACAGCGGCAGAATATAATTCCACTGAAGGTGTGTGATGATAGCCCCCGTAAATTTCCGCTAAATAAGCTCCGTTCAATTCAGAATCGTTTCATATCATTAGCGCGCAGCGTAAAGCTCCCCTCGCGCACACACCATGACTATGGAGAGTCGCTTAGGAAGTTACATTCCGCTATCCTTGGTCTATGTGCCCTTATTGAGAGTTTCCCGTACTCTGTCGAGCCGTGGATGCCGTCCCTTACAGAAGGTCAGTGGATGTTGTGAACTTTCTTGTCTGAAACTCATGTCCGCTCGCTATAACTCTCTTGCTATTTTCGATCATCTTCGTCAATACAGTCCTGGCGAGACACGCAACAGATCCGCCGCCGATCTCGACGACGATTCGTCACTGTGCTTCTGAGTTCAAGAAAGTAAGTTCCTTTCCTATTGTATACTGATTTGACCTCACGAGCATTATTTCTATCTAGACTCACCAGGTAAATTGCTTCCGCGATCAATGGCAATCTTTGTCGCCCCTTACCATCGATTTTACAGGATACTTGGCACAAGGATCAACTAGCCTTTGACGAAGATCAATTGCAGAGCCTCTCTACGATGCTCGTTGGTACTTCATATTGTGGGTTGATTGCGTCTGTTATTGGGGCTTTGGCTAATCAACGGCCATATCTACAGACGCCTAGATAAACGTTTCATAGATTGGAATCGATCCGCGCCTCCGTCAGGACTTAGGCATCAGCAGGATGTTATTACATCGCCGTATCGACTATGTATAAATTAGGGCACATACTTGATGTTCGATTTTAAGTATCAGTTCTTCTTCCGAGAATGTTTGTGCTATCGATGATTAATTCCGCCCATGTCTGCGATGGTTTGGCCAATTCAGTATCGGCAGTGTCCTCTACTCCCGCCTGGATGCTCCTGCCGAATAGGCGCAGGCTTTGTGTACCATCAGATATAGCTTCATCGCAGCTCATTGAAAAAAAAAGAAGTTTCAAGGGTTGTCGGCTCGTAATTCATCGGCTCGGAACCACATAGTATGCGTAACTCCTGGCGACGGCCCATCAGCGCGTGTGTTGCAACGTGTTCCGGTCATTTGAATTGGTGCCTTGAAAATATGCCAAGTCGGCTGACGGTATGATCGATGACCGAGCCCATAGTATAATCATTCAAGCCGTTAGAGAGGTTTGAGTTTCGTCAGATCCATCCTCATGCTTTGTTCATGGTCTGGTTCATATGGTATTATCGCATTTATGTATTCCACGACCCATAAGCTTTAACCTGAATTTTCAAACTTAAGATTGCAGCATACGCGACGCATGAACCATGCGGTCATAGGAAGGAGCTGTAGAAAGCGCTTCCCGTAACTTCGAGATATTAGCGGCATTATGTTCATATCGCGATGGAGTTATCTCTGAGCCAGGTCATCATCGATGTAAACTGATTTGAAAAGATGAATTGATAATGGTCCGAGTTGACACATACTGTGCGCTTCGTGCGCACGTCTTCTGAGGCGTCACGGTGATTATCTAGCCGGATTATAGCGCCATCAGCAAGTTAGAGGAAGGTTCTGAGGCACGGTAGGAAGTGCGTCTGATTTATCGTTGCAAGTTCTCGTGAATCGTGCCCCAGAATTCGGAGCTGATACGCGAAAAGTTGTGTCAAGTTAGCCTCTACTAGTAGCAATGAACACTACGCCTGCCTTTTTAGTGCTAAAACTTCCGAAATTCCAATCAAACACGACTGTTTCGTGGCCCGTTTTACTTTCTGACACAAGTTCCCCAGATTTTGTCCGATGATATGGTCGGAACAGCGGTTGATGCAGATGAGTCTCATAATATCATTAAAGCAGTTAAAGTGGATTTAACGGAACACAAATAGCACCCGGCATATCAACTCACGTGAAGTGGCCCCATGGGCAAGCTAAGGATGCCTTTGACTCGGACGCCGACGCAGGAAATGGAAGTTTGAGCCCAATTCAAAGACGATGATAACACCGATGAATAGAGGTGATATTGTGAATGGGCGCAAGGACGCAAAGCGTGGCGATCACGGACGGTGCATGCTTGCTTCGTATGACTCTTTGGTGAGTGCTAAAGGCGGTCCTTGAGGCTATTTCACAGAGCGGCGAACCATGGAGGTGCTGCGGCTGCATGGCACACTCGTGGGACAGCATCAACACGTGTTGGGTGCAGTGTGTTACTTTGGGGTTAGTAACCCTTGAGTATTTTATGAAAGTTTGGTTTTTGGAAGGTGTTCCGAGTAATGGGTCTGGTTCAATAGAGTCTTGACATCGTAGTAAACGATCTGCAGCTTGATCATCGTATTGATTTTCCGGGTCATCAATGGCGATGCACGTGTACTTGTATCCAAAATTAAATTTGAAATTGGAGTCAACGAAAGTAGCATGCAAAGACACGTTATATGGCCTCGAGGCCCGAACTAGTTGAGGAATGATTGGGGAGCAGAGAGGAGCACAATGGATGGATGAATTGTTGAAGGGCTTGGTTCAAGTGGTGTAGCTGTACGGCGTTGTCAGGCATAAGCCGATAGTTACGACATCAACAATGTAAACCAGTGCATTGTGAGCCAAGTGAATTATAGGCCCTTGGTCTAGTGTTCGCTTCCAACTTTTTTTGTTTTGACCACGACCATCCACGATCCAGGTTGTTGTTTTTTCTTTCTATATTCTAATAAGGCTAACTGAAAGTTTACAGTATCTAATAGTTCTCATTTTTGAGTAAAGGGAGCGCCCAGTCACATCTCCAAACCTCATTGCACAGGGCTCATTATAATTATTGGCAATCGCCGCCGCAAGAAGGGCACGTTGCAATCAAAACTCCTTCGCAAGGTCAGTCAGGGCTCCTCCCCTTTGCCTCATTTCATTACCATAACCTCCAAGAAGATCTAAAACCCTCGACCTCCACCCACTTTGCCTCTTCAAACTCTTGACCTGGGTCCTGATCTTCAACACGCGACCCCGGTCCTCACGACCTCCTCACGCCTCGTTTTATTTCATCTCACTTTTTATACCTATCTTGTGCTTTCTCTTTAGATCTTTACTGCCTGTCTTCTTGCATTCTATCCAGCAAAACGTCGACGGCGGTCTCTATCTATCAACTCACTTAGCAAATCGTGCTCTCAACATCGCATCACCTATATCCTATACTCCATCGCATCTTTGATTATTCTCTCATACCGCAACGCACGACACATTTTTATCCAGCAATCATCAGTCGCTCATCAGCTTGTTAATTAACTGGTGAGTAAATTTCATTGCAGCGTGTTTTTGCTTCGCTGACAATTCCCATTATTTAAATCAGATTTAAATGCAAAAGGTGGTCACCGCTACTACTGCACCCACACACACTTTGTACTTTGCACGCGAATCAGGCTCAAGAAAACCCATTTCAGCTCGAGCACAATCAACGGGTGTACCTGGTTGGTCTTCAAGTCCCCTTGAACATCACAACTCGAACTCAGACTTCACAGCCGAAGTAAGCCATACGCTATCTCTCACTAGACAACCTTCTTACGTCGTCCCGTAGACTTGGAACGTTTCATCTGCACAAGGCTCACCACCGTCTCTTTCATCCTACATCCCACGTTCAGCTTCGATTCAAAAACCTCTAGCAATGCCTGTTCGTACAAACCTCGTAGACATGTCAAAAACCGAAACTTCTGGCCATCCGTCTGAGCGTGTCCCAAACAACGCTCAGCGATGGCGGCTAAATGCTTCGGGACAGCTTGTCGATCCAGACGCATCGCTCGACTGGGACCTTGCCCAAGATATTGCCAGGCTGAAGCTCGGCGTCGTAGGTGACATTGGAGACGATATACAGGGCCGACTGGGGACTTCTCCTCAGTCTAAGCTAGGTGCTGCGAATGTAGCACCATTCAATGATGCAAGTCCGCTGGAAACGGCTTCTGACGTCAGTCTTGACTCCTCCCCCAATACCTCTGATCATCAAATTTCACCGTCCCATTCTCGCGTGTCGTCCACGGATACACTGGAATCTCACGAATCTATCAATTCTTCGGCTAGTCATACCATGCGCGGGCAGCCCCAGCTGAAGATAGCAACGGGGAATGACGGGAAGGAGCGTCCTCATTCCTTCAGCGGTGGACTATCTACTGCTGATTTGCGTCGCCTAAAGCAAGCAGGGGAGGAGCATGTACATTCCGTGGCTGCTCACCCTTGGTCGTCCGCTGCTTATCGGGATCGCGTTGGTGGCGGAGAAAAGCCTTTTTCACCTGAGCAGCCCCAGTACCCATCGCTGACCAACGCATCATTTGGTCGCGGACAACAGCAATATGACTATCGTTCTGCCCAAGGTAATGGGGATTTGCAGGGCGATTATGGCGCTCAGCGCAGCTATTTCCCGCAACCTTCTGCCCCCAGTGCCGCCGCACCACATCACTTTCTCCAAGGACGCCCGGCGAATGGAGTTCAATCTACCTATCGTCAGCCTCAGCGAGGTTACCCTCCACAACCGTTGGTCCCAAGCCCAACGGGACTTGCCTATGGTCCGGCACACGTTCCTCACCTTTCGCTCGGTAACACTCAGCAACTCTATGACATGGTTCTCCCTACCGGAGACAATCATCACCCGGCCGTTACTCGTGTGCAGCAACAACACAACGTGTTCCGTGGTGCTCATCAGCACTCCGCCTCAGACCCTTCCGCTCTGCGAGATGCTGCTACATTAGCGCTCCTCAGCAACCAAGCAGTTTTCGCACAGGCGACTCATGGAATGTATCCCCCCATCCACCCTGGTCTCTACAATCAATTCTACGGCACTCCGGAATCATACCCCTCGGATCTAGCCGTCGCGGCCATGGCCAGCCGTCTGCAAACTCATTTCACTAGTCCGTATGGAGCGTTACCAGCTCAAGGCCTGGGGGTAGACCATTCCAATGCAGGATCTGAGAGTCCTTCGCAAAACACCGGTGGACCGAGTGCTAACAATCGTAAGCTCGGCTTGTACAAGACTGAGTTATGCAGGTCATGGGAAGAGAAAGGCTCATGTCGGTACGGAGCGAAATGCCAGTTTGCGCATGGAGAAGATGAACTTCGGAACGTTGCTCGTCACCCCAAGGTAGGAACTCATCGATGCCTGCGATACTGAGTATTGATATTATTGCATTTCAGTACAAAACGGAAATTTGCAGGGTAAACTTTCTTTTTGGAATTTTATGGAATTTTTTTTCTGATGATGGCAAATAGACATTCTGGGTGTCAGGTGCATGTCCATATGGGAAACGTTGTTGCTTCATCCATACCGAACTGCCGGTCTCGGGCATCGCACCGGGAGCTGAGGGTATTCCTCCACCTTCGGTCACTGCAAGCAATCGTGAGCGTTCGAATAGCGACCCCAACGAATCATCGATATCCCTTCTTCAGCGCATCCAGCGTAAGGGTGATGCAACACCAGTGGACGCATCCCCGCCTTCGGGTAACTTCTTTAATTCTCGACCTCCCACTGGCTCGCTTCGCGTTGACACGTCTGCTCTCAATAATATTACGAAGCAGAACAAGTCAGCATACCCTACCTTTGCCAGCAATGCGTTGATGCTTTCAAGTTCCGAGCAGACACCTATGAAGTCTCCGGTTGTTCCTCTTACAGCGGGTCCTGATTTGGGGCGGCACAACAACGCACGCCTGGATATCGTAGGATACAGCCAGGTGAGTATGACGTGGCTATGTAGAACCTATTTTGATCCAAGAATACTTTTAGCAACGTCTTAACAGAACGAGCGCTACAGTGCCCAACGCCAGAC